TCTTAGGCTTGGGTAATTTGTACACATTGTGGTAATTTTCCTAAGGTAGGGGCCAGAAGACTTGCATCTCAGCTTCTTTGCAGCTGCAGCTGACTTGTGGCTGACATTTGGCCAGTTAGACTCATCCATAGAGACTTGTTTAGAAGGTGGACAGTATACAGAGGCTTCAGGCAGAGGGGATAATTTTTCTGGGCAGTGCAGTGGCGGAGGAGTTTGGTTCTTTGAAGACAGTTGTGGCTTCTGACATCGAGTCCTGAGCATCACAGGAGGCAAATGGAGGGGGTATGATTTCCCAGAAGAGCACTCCCAGTGAGACTGGGTGTGAGTCCTGACTGTGTGGCTTTGGACATAGACTCTTGAGTTGCTGGGAGCTACCTATATCCTTTAATAAATAGTTTTTTTTTTTCCACAAGAACTAGCCAGAGTGGATTGGGTTATTTATATCTAAGGAGGCTGGCTGACACTGTAGTAATAATAATAATGATATAATATTTATAACATAACTACAAGCCCCTCCACATCAGCTTTGGCAAAAGTGATTAGGGATCCCAGAACTCCTGGTGCTTCTGGAAAGAATGCCACTGCCCCACCCACCCTGCTATGTTCCCAGATTCACCACCTCAGAGTTACCTTCTGCTCTCATCTCCCAGGGCTGTTTGTTGATCCTGGCTTATGTCAATGACATGAGAAGCCTGGGATTCCTGGGTCACCCCTAACGTCCAGGGTCTGCTCCCCATTGGGCTCTTTTTCTGACTTAATTTTCCATCCCCCACCCCACCCTTGCTCTTGCCTTCTGGGACTCACAGTCTGGCAGCAGCAAAGGCCCATTTCCTCAGTCTTCTCTGGACATTCCTTCATTCTCCCCTAGGTACAGCAGCTCCTGTGGGTCCCTTTCCTTCTCATCACCATCAAACCTCTTGGCCTGGATACCTCTAGGAACAAGCACAGGAACCATCCTTGCTTCACATGGCTGCTTCCACATTGTTCTCTGTCCCCCTTCCAAGAACCCCCAGCATGAAACTTATGTCATCAGGTGATGTGGTTACCTAATGACACCTGGTGACTTCTGATTCTTTCAAGATTTTAGCCCCTGGCTTACTGCCTCTTTGCTCCAACCTCTCTCGTACTTCTTGGGGATTTCAGCATCATTTCAGGACCATGATGTCTAAGTTCTTTGACATTCTTCTCCAATGTGCCCGTTCTCCATCCTGCCCCAGCCACTCACCTCACAGTCATGCCCTGGACCTTGTCATTGTCAGTAACTTCCCTCTTCCAAGAGATGCATGTTAAGGGGCCCACTCCGTGACCCCTAGTTTTATCCTTCTGGCACACAAGCTCTGGTATCCTGACTCTAACAATCCTTCCCTCATTGACACATACAATCCCTCCATCCAAATACTCTTTGGTGCTTTCTGCCCTTCTCCCGTCCTGCCTTTTATTTTTATCCAGCTTAAGGTCCATCGTTGTAACCACTCTTTTGCATACCCCTCCGTTCCTTTGCTCCTCCTCTCTTTATATTCAAGGAGCAAAACCCCAGTCCTGATAAAGCCTGACTGTGTTGACTCAGAGCTTACACTTGTGCAGCTGAGTGGCTGGGGAAAAGCACATCCTAATCTGTCTGATTTTCCTTCAGCTCAAGCAGGCTCTGTGTCTGCATACACCCTCCCGTACTTCCCCACTCTTTCCACTCTCTCCTTTTTCTCCATGGCTGTTTCATTCCTTTTGCCCTCCCCAAAGCCTCAGTGCCTCTTCCCTCTCCTTACTGTCAGTGACTTCACATCCTGTCCGCCACCACATCTACCCCTCCCTCCCATACACCGGTGCCTGTTTTCCAGCCTCTCTTGTCCCCAGGGGGAAACTACCCGTGCTCCTGGGCAAGGCTGGTCCTTCCATGAGTGCACCTGATCCCACCCCTGCCAGATTTCCAAGGGCACCCTTCTGCCATTCTCCCTATTCTCTCCTGCATCCTCAGTGTTCCCCCTCTCTGCTGCATCATTTGTCTCAGCATAAAACATACTGTTATTTCCCCTACCTTTAAAAGAGTTCTTTTGACCCCACATCTCCCTTTAGCAAAACTCCTCAAAGGAGCTCTTCACCTCTGTGCCTCCAATTCCCCTCCTCCCATTCCGTCTTCAACCCATTCCAATTACGCTTCCCTCCCACCTCTGAAACGGCCATTGCTAAGGTCAAAAAGGAGCTCCAAATTGCTTAATCAAGTGGTGAATTTTTTGTCTTCATCCAGCTTGACTCATGGCTGACACTGGACAGAGCTGATGACTGTTGACTTCTCAAAACGTTCTCCTCACTCACCTTGCGGAGCTTGCCCTCTCCCGGTTTCCTTTTTTCCTCCCCAGCTGCTTTGAATTCCCTGTCCTCTCAATGGCGGAATGCCCCTGAGCTCAGTCCTTGGACATCTTTTCTGAGTGATCTCATCCGGTTCCGTGGTCATAAGTCCACAGCAGATAAGATGACTCTCCAAAGTGTATCTCCAGCCCTGAACTCCAGACTCATACTTAGTTATTTGACATTTCTACTTCTATGCCTAAAGATGAAGCGCTGATCTGTCCTCCAAACCTGCTAGTTTGCTAGAGCTGCTGTAACAGTGTTAAAAATCGAGCAGCTTGAAAAAACAGAAATGTATTGTCTCACAGTTCTGGACGCTAAAAGATCAAGGTGTCAGCAGGGCCGTACTCCTTCTGAAGGTGCTAGGGAAACACCCATTCCAGGCCTCTCCAAGCTTCTGGTAGTTCTTGGACTGGTGGCAGCATCACACCAGTCCTTACCTGGTGCTGTCCCTGTCTGTGGGTCTTTGTGTCCAAACTTCCCATTTTTAAAAGGGCACTAGTCGGCCGGGCGCGGTGGCTCACGCCTGTAATCCCAGCACTTTGGGAGGCCGAGGCAGGTGGATCACAAGGTCAAGAGATTGAGACCATCCTGGTCAAAATGGTGAAACCCTGTCTCTACTAAAAATACAAAAAAATTAGCTGGGCATGGTGGCGCGTGCCTGTAATCCCAGCTACTCAGGAGGCTAAGGCAGGAGAATTGCCTGAACCCAGGAGGCGGAGGTTGCGGTGAGCCGAGATTGCGCCATTGCACTCCAACCTGGGTAACAAGAGCGAAACTCCGACTCAAAAAAAAAAAAAAAAAAAAAAAGGGCACTAGTCATATCGGATTAGGGCCCACCCTATTGACCTCGTTTTAACTTATCTACATCTGTAAAGACCTTATTTCCAAATAAGATCACATTCTCAAGTATTGGGGGGTAAGACTTCAATGTACCTTTTTGGGAGGACAAAATTCAAGGTATAACACTGCCCCTCCCACTTGATCTCATTTTGGTAAATGGCAACTCCAATCTTCCACCTGCTCAAGTCAGAAACCTTGGAGTCATCAGTGACTCCTGCTTTTCTTATACCTGAATAACCAATCTATCAGCAACCCTCTTGGTTCTGCCTTCAAAATGTATTCAGAATCGAAACAGACCTCATCACCTCCACAGCTACCTCCCTGGTCCAAGCTACTATCTTTCATCATCTGGATGAATGGCAACAGCCTCCTATCTGGCCTCCCTGCTTCTGTTCTTATCCCCTATAGCAGCCAGAGTGATCCTTTATAAATGTTAGACAGTGTCTCTGCTCTGCTCAAAATCCTTCCATGGCCCCCCACGGTATGTAGATTAAAGGTCAATGGCCTGCAATGTGTTACGTGGTTCACTCACGTCTTTATTTCTCCGGGCTCATCTCTTACCACTCCCTATTCCCTCCATCTGTTGCATCCACCCTGGCCTCCTTGCTAGTCTCGCCTCAGGGCCTTTGCACTTGCTTAAAATGCTCTTTCCCTGGATAACTACTGGGTTTGCTCCCTCACTTCCTTAGACTTTGTCCAAGTATTATCTTCTCTGTGAGGTCTTCCTTGACCAACAAATGTAAGATTGCAACTCTCCCATCATCGCGTCTCTCACTTTATTTCCTCGACAGTACTAAGCTTCATCTGACATACTATATATTTTTCTTGTCTGTGTCCCCAACTTGAATGTACGCTCCTTGGGGACAGGGTTATTTATCTATTTTGACCATGCTTGTATCTCCAGGTCTAGATCAAGGCCTAGATCACATAGGTGATAGGAAATATTTCTATTAGTAATTGATTAATTGAATTAATAACAATAATTATTATAATGGCGAACTGACAGCAATTAGCAGCATATGAAATATGGTCTCCATTTAGTTTACCCTCCCAGGAGCCTGGTGAGGTAGATCTGATCCTTGTTTTGGATCAGATGAGAACACTTAAGGCTTGATGTGATTCTTACTAGCAGGTGACATTTCTGTTAGGTTGGTGCAAAGGTAATTGTGGTTTTGCATTAAAAGTAATGGCAAAAACCGCAATTACTTTTGCAACAAACTAATTGTAACAAAGCAAGACTTGGCTTTGGAATCAGACCATCCAGGTTCAGATGCTTACCCTGCCTCTTTCTATGTGTGTCCTTAAGCATTTCCATAATTTCTTGAAGCCGCAGTTTCTTCTTCTATAAAATAGGGGTAATTCTTATGTCATAGAAGTGTCAGGAAAATGAAACAAGTTAATCCTTGAGTGGTGACTGGTAAGCAGTAAGCACTTGATGAATGTTAGTTTTGATTGTTATTATTCTTCTTATTTATTATTATATCCCACTGTTGAGGCAAGAAATAAAATTGAGGGGAAGAGACTCTCTTTTGGAATCTTTATTTTGACATCAGCTCAGGATCCAACTACAGCCTTCTTTTGAGATTTGGGAGTTTAGGATTTTTTTTTTTTTTTTTCAAAAGGCTCAGTCTGGTTCAAGTCTCAACAACTGTATGTTTAGTATTAGTGTGTGTGTGTGTGTGTGTGTGTGTGTGTGTGTGTATGTTGCTTGTGCCTGTGTGTCTTTATTTTCCATTTACTTCGAAATTGATAGATTTCCAATTTAGAGCAAGGGGGGATCAGGAGGGAGAAGGAAAATGGAGCTGCCCATCAAAATTAGCAGGGAAGTGGGTAAAGGTCATTTGATCACAGCTTGGCTGCGCTCTGAATTAACCTGCATAACAGAGACTTGTTGAGTTTGCAGCTCTTTAAGTCGCATATTAACACCAGGAGGAAGGCAAGGAGACACCCTGAAAGAAGGTCAATTTGTGGCTGCTCAAATCAGCAGGGCTCCTGGAGAAACTTGGCTGGAGAAATCAGCTCTGGGGCCTTGGGGTGGGGAGCAAGTGAGGAAAGTCCAGTCTATGGAGGAGAGGAGGCCCGGGTGCTTCTTGGGGGCAGCTTCTGCTGTCTGGCTAACCTGTGAGGACCCTGAAAGTGCAGCTGGGAGGGACTTCCTCCAGAGCTGGAGCTACAACATAAAGAGAATTAAAGAGAGGTGAGCACCGCATCCAGCAACAATTGCAGATTCATTAATCGTCTATGGGGAAAAGAATGGGAGGTATTTATATGATAAAGATGCTGGGAAATTAGAGGGAGCAGCAGTGCTGTTTACTGTTTTTATTTTATTTTTATTATCATTAAATTGCTTCAAGTCGCCTGTAATTTTCTTAGGCTGTCACAATTACAAATCTTCGAGGATTATATAAGACACCCAGAGTCAGAAAGGTATAATTTAAACTTGCAGGGGTCTGAGGGCCTCAGCTCTTTTTCATTACCTCCCTGGCAGTTGGCACTAATGGGTTGAATTAAGTGACCCCCCAAGGCAGGTTCCAGTTTCCAAGCCTTGTGGTTTTGCCATGAACTTGGGCCATGGTGGACAGCTGTGCCCTGGAGGGAGGAGGCATTACCTAACTGCGTAATCCTGCTTTGCCCCAGAACGGCTCTCTGTCTGTGGGTGCGTCATTTGTCCTCCCTGTCTCTCAGTCTCCCCAGCTGTCATGTGGGGATATTAGTCCATAACTTACAAGCGTGTGGTTTGGCTTATATGAGACTATGATTCCTGTGTTCTGGCAACAGTTCTCTGACAGCAGCTAGGTGTCTTGCAATTCTATTGGATTCTGACACTAACTACTGGGAGTCAGCATCAGATCCCACAAGTTAGAGGGCCAAGTCACCAACAAAACCATCCTTACTTTAGATATCACTTGCAAATGGGGTCCCCAGTGCAGGGGAGAAAAAAGTAGTATCTTTTCCTCACTCATTGCAAGGTTCATGGCTGAGATCCTGTAACAAAAGACAGATTAACAAGAAAGAAGAGCATGCAAATGATTCTGTAACAAAAGACAGATTAACAAGAAAGAAGAGCATGCAAATGATTCATTACAAATTTTTTTGTGACATGGGAGCGTTCAATAATGAAGGTCCAAAGACCCAGGGAAAACTGTATTTTTACGGGTAGTCGTGCGGAAGTATGATTGGGGAACAAAGGGTGTACCCTAATGGAAATAAACTAGGAAAAACTTAGCAAGGCCTGTTTGTTCAGATTCTTCTTGGCATCCTTGTGTGATAATTCTTTCCTCTGAGTATAGGCCAGGACACCTGTCATGTGAGGGTATTCAGGGAAGGAGGGAGGGGGAAGGTCAGAGAGTGACCTTCCCAGGTTTTATGGCCTGCTCCAGGGAAGAACAAGTGAGGAGCATTTCAGTTTCTATGATCTATTTCAGGAGAGATCGCGGCGAGAAGGACAGAGAAACCTTCCTGCTTCTGGAGTTTTCTCAGTTTCATTTCACTTAAAATACCCTGTGTGCCAAGGTGCCATATTTTGGAGTAGTGTCTCTTGCACTCCATCAATGGCCTACTTGTACTTCTGTCTGACTTGGCTATGAATTCAGGTGCTTGCTTGAGTCCCCTTCAGGTTCAATAATTTTCTAGAAGAACTCTAGGGAAACACTAAAAGTGCTGTACTCACCATTATGGTTTTATCTTAAAGGATACAACTCAGGAACAACCAGATGGTCAACGTGGGGGGATGGGGCACTGAACTTCCATTCCCTTTCCTTGTGAAATCACCCTGCTAGCACATTCATATGTTCACCAACCAGGAAGGTCCACTGAGCTTTGGTGTCCAGAGCCTTTCTATGAGTTTCATTATGTGGGCATGATTGATTGAAGAACAGTCATGTGATTGAACTCAATCTCCAGTCTTTCTCCCCTCCCTGGAGCTGGGGGCTGGGGCTGAATGTTCCAACTCTCTAATCCCACGCTTGGTCTTTCTAGCATGGCCAGCTTCTCCCTTGAAACTGTCTAAGGGCTCACCATTAGCATTTATAAACTTTACTATGGTCAAAGGGGCTTGTTATGAATAACAAGATACGTTCCTATCAGGAAATTCCAAGAGCTTTTGAAGCTCTGTGCCAGGAACTGGGGACAAAAATATCATAGCTTCCAAGCTGTAGTTTTCTTTGGAATAAGTACAGAGCACATTAAAAGTTCAGCTTCCAGGGGCCTGGTTCTCCAGGTGGTTTGATACAGTAGGGCTGGGCTGGGACCCACAGGTCTCCATTTCTACCATTCCCACAGGTGAAGTTGGTATGGGTGGGCTATGCGTCACTCATTGAGGAATGCTGATATGATGTAATGTACAGTAATATGCATGGAATTGCTCGGAAAACTGTGCTGTTCTCCACAAACATCAGGCATTATCACTAGGACTGTCTCCTCCTTTGAATAGATTTGTCTGATATATTTTAAGATTAATTGTAATTAAATACTAGAGCTGAAGATACTGAGAAGCCTTAGGTAATCTAGCTCCCTGGAATTCTTAGAAGTATTTTTAGGGGTTGCACAAGGTTGGAAGATGAAGTCAGAAATGGGGATGTGCAAAGCCTAATGGAGGCTAGAGTTGGGCCATTCACAATGCTCCCTTAGTGATTCCTGCAATACTCTCCCTCATTTTCCCTCATTCCCTCCTTGTTCATCCCAATAATGGGTGAGCCCCACTTACTGCCTCCACCCCAACTCCTAGGCTGACTATAAAGTGTGAAGCCTGTGTCCTCTACAAACCTGGGATCTCAGCTGTTGCCTCAAAACTCCTCTTGTCTGGCCAGGCACGGTGGCTCACGCCTGTAATCCCAGCACTTTGGGAGGCTGAGGCGGGTGGATCACGAGGTCAAGAGATCGAGACCATCCTGGTCAACATGGTGAAACCCCGTCTCTACTAAAAATACAAAACATTAGCTGGGCATGGTGG